TATAGTATTCTTTCATTTTAGCAAGATTTAGATTTCAAGTGTTTAATTCACTGCTAAAAATTATGTTTATCGCATTTTAAAATTTTGCACCAAATGGTTGAAAAAGAATGATCTTCTACATATCTTCTGCATTTTTAGGAAACAAATGGTTCATAGCCTTTCATTCTGCTTTTTGCACTGATCTTAATTTTATCCTTCACTTCCCACCCAAATGCAATTTGTGCATACAATACTCCAATAAATGTCAGTGTATTGAAACAATGCTGTTCTACTGCTGCACAGAGAACAGAGCTGTATCATCAAGATTGATGTAAACATTGCAAGCACTGCATTTATTTAAACTCTTCAAAATGTCTGGTTGTGTTTATAAAAAACTAGATAAAACACAAACATAGAGGAAAATAAATATAAGGAGGTAAAGCAGTGTCCTCCACTAAAACTGAAGTTGCTACAGCTACCAAACAGTGATTTCGTTATGCTTACAATTAGATAATCTGTATGGATTTCAGTTCATCTTATATAGAACAGGTATAACAATGTAGAATGTTTTTTTTTTCAGATCACCCAGGTCTAGATAATGTGGTACAGATTGAGAAATTTCAAGAAAAGGCTTACATGGAGTTCCAAGACTACGTAACAAAAGCATATCCGGATGATACTTACAGGTCTGTAAACTTGGATGCTTACTTGATTGATTCTCTTTTCAGAGCATCGGTGATAATGATCTGTATAGTGTTTCTTGTAATAAATATGTACATTTTCTTCTTACCTCCTTAAAGGTAAGACATTACCATTAGAGCACTTCAAGTATTATGCATGTACTCATGCATATTATGAGTATTATTCATCTACTCATTCGTTATGAATTTCCAAAATTAAATATTGGAAATAAAATTAATATTGTTAATGTTTTCATTTTGAATTGGAATCTTTCCTCATTTAGTCAAAGTCCAATCATTATACAGTCCATGTAATTGACAGGCATATTCACATTTTTTGTACTGTTGGAAGACATGACTAAACAAAAGTTTCATCATCTACTGATTAAAATATTTAAGCCTTTAATGAACTATATACGGCAAATTTTGACCAGTGTGGTCCCTTGTTAATTTTTCCTCTTCTGTTGCTGATGCCATAATTGTAACACCAAAATCTGTGACCACAAGTAACGCTTCTTACCAAACTTATTTTCCAGACTGTCTAGACTTCTCCTCCGATTGCCTGCTCTTAGGCTTATGAGTGCTGCCATCACTGAAGAGCTATTCTTTGCAGGACTGATTGGAAATGTTCAGATTGATAGCATCATCCCCTATATCCTGCGAATGGAGACAGCGGACTACAACTCTCAGATAATTGGTCATGTTGTATAAAAGTACCAGTCAAGGATTCTCTACCATGGCAGTCATGGTGATGTAAATGCATACCCTGTCTCCAAGAGATGGCAATAAGCCTTCCCATGCACCTTTCCAAAGAAGGCTAATATTCCTCCTTTCCAGTACACTTGGGAAACGTGGCAGAGTGTATTAAGGAATATAGGTTTGCTTCCTATGTTTCGCCTGATCTTCAAGGACTTGTAAATTAACTTGGTATCTGAAGAAAGTCGAGAGTTGTCCATCCTATTTTTGTAGATAGATGAACTTGGAATATTTGTTTATGAAGTCCAGGCTTGTGAAGAAACTGAAGAAGCTTTGACTGAACTAAGGTATCTCAACTTAGTTTGATGTTTTAGAAAAATAAATTAACTTTCCTCTCTCCAGTGTGTTTTCAGTGTTTTGCTATTAGTTCTTTCTCACTGATCAAATGGAAAATACCTGATCAAACATCCTGAAAAGGCCAGTGTTTCCATGGAAAACAAGACCATTATAACCAAACTTAGTTTTTCCTATTGTTTTGAAGATTTGTTTCTTGTTGAATGAAACACTGGACACTGTTCCAAGTGCAGGGAAAGTAGAGGAAGTTCACATTTTAAAATATTCTGATGATACGTTGATGCTGTTGATCAAAAGTGAAGCAGCAAAGGATCAGTACTGACTGTTTTATGGATGCAAAGGAATATTGTGTTGTAGTATTAAATCTTGGTAGATGTCAGCTGGTTTATACTATGAAAAACTAAGAAGTGTATACTGCAGGTATTCAAAGACAGCATCCTCTTGTTTTTTCTAGTCTCAGAAGTTAAAGCTTTTTCACACTACTCCCTCTTTTGTACATGGTGCACAATGATGGAGGCATTCTAGATACCTCGTAACTTATGTTCGTATCTTTATTTTTTTATTAGTGCTAGCCTTTGGCTATGTAGTTCTCCTTTCCAACTAGTCTCATATAATTATTTTTTAAATTTGATCTTGTCAAATTCAGTGCCCCTCCCTATGGGAGCATGGTCCCTGCTGCTTTTCCTTTCCTTATTAGAAACGGGTCTAGACACTTCATATATGTTGCTACTCCATAGCTCCATCTAAGGATGGATTTAAATGTTTTTCTGTCTTGAAGCATGCGCCTCACCGATGAAGTAACACTGCCACGGTTGTTTCTTGCTTCCTTTTGCAACAGGAAATTATACATCCCTAGCATATTAATGCCTGTTGCTTAAAATGAGAGACGTAGCCTGTAAAAGTGGTGGTCTACCTCTGACGTTAGCATTTAGGATTATCTAAATCTTGGATCAAGGCCAAGTTCTATTTATCATGAACCTTCTCTTTCTCTGGCAACACTGGGTGAGGAAGAGCCTCACCCAGTCAGGAAACACATGGTTGCACCGGAAGTTGGCTTAGCCGAAAGATCAGCTGAAATGGGGGCCTTTGCCCACGCTGCACTAGCAGCTCCAAGGCCACCCTAACACCAAAAGACTACTAGATGAGGCTTGGGTTAGTTCTGTAGCTTTTCTCAGCACGTGAGGATCTTGACCAGCCAAAAAGAATCAGAGAACTGCCTCTGACACTGAATTTCTGTGTTCTTTTCAATTCCACTAACTGAGCTGCTTGGATCTTCCTCTGCCCAGGCTCTCTAATCTGAGGCTGTACTACAGGATCGGTCATATCCAATACCACAGACCAAAGCACTCAGTGCTGAGGACCACTGACGGGATGGAACCATCCCTGCTGCTCTGTCTTGGCACTTACTGCCTTGCTGGAGGACAGCCTTCAGTGTTGGAGCTGGCCATGGCAGCTGAGCTCTTCCCACGTTCCGCCCTTTGAAAGGCACAGGACTCAAGTTCTTCATCTGTGTTCCCTGGAGAGCAGTATGAGGGCTATTTCTCTGCGTCTTGGGAGGTATGCATCTCATCAGCAGGATTTATGGAGATATGAAAGACAGTTGCTGCCAATATGCTGTGCTTGTTCTCTCCCTGAGGGTTAGAGGCCCCTCTTGCTATCTGTAGGACCAAGTTGCAGATGGGAGGTATATTGTTCTTCAATTCAGCTCTCCTTAGAAATTCTGACCCTGCTTTCTAGCCCTGTGCTATCCCTAACCCACTTCTGGCCCTAACTGGCATAGGAGATTTACGGTCCTCTGGGTTAAACTTTTTAAGGAAGTTGACAGCACATTACTCCTGAATATTTTGGAGGTGGTTTCCCAGACATTCCAAAACTCGTGGCAGAGTTTTACTCTAGTATTCTCCAGCTTCATGTAACCCAGATAATAGTAAGATGGAAAAGCTTGTTTTCCTTCTAAATGCAGTACATTGTGCAAATCTCTCACATCCTTGCAGAAATCTTTTACTCCATAGCTTGAGCCTCAGGTGTGGTAAGCAGTTCCTTGTTTACAGCTGGCCGAAAGATTCAGCTGATGCAGCCTCTTGCATGGTACTGTCTGGCATCAGTTGAGAAAATACCAGTGTTTCTACAGACCTAAGTCTTTAGTGATTGAATCCCTCAGCTCATCCATCTTCATCACAGAACAGCCCAGGTTTGAAGGGGCCTTGAAAGATCATCCAGTCCAACCTTTTGTGGTAAAGGGAGCCTGGATGAGATTATCTAGCACCCTGTCCAATCACATCTTGAAAACTTCCAGTGATGGGGACTCCACAAGGTCCCTAGGGAAGTTGTTCCAGTGATTGATTGTTCTCAGCATAAAAAATTTCTTATATTGAGTTCTTGAGGACTTTTCAAAGATTATAGCTAGTGGCCTTGCACCGACATCAGCCACTTCTCTTAATACCCCAGGGTGCATTTCCTCTGGGCCCATGGATTTATGTGGGTTGAGCCCTTGCAAGAGGCTGCAGACCAGCCTTACCAGCCTTTCCTCCGCTACTGGTGGGTCAATACATGCGTTCTCACAGCTACTTGATCCTGTGCTCTGTGGTCCAGCTATGCTGGTAAAGACAGAGGCAAAGAAGATAGTGAGAACCTCTGCCTTGCCAGCATTACTAGTGAGTAGTTTCCCTGCCCTGTGAGGCAATAGGTCTATGTCTTTCTTTTGCTTCTCCTAATTGCTCACGTATCTGAAGAACCCTTTCTTCTTTTTCTTGACATCTTTGGCCAATTTCAGTTCTAGCTGAGCCTTAGGCATCTCTGCATGCCCTAGCAGGGTTCTTGTAGTCCTTGATGAGTATTTGGCTGGCTTTCCTTAGCCAATATGCTGCTTTTTTGCCCTTTTTTCCCGCCTTTTTTTTTCTTTTTTGTCAGAGCACTGTTCTGGAGGAGATGGCCTCAGAACCTATTTTCTCTGGATTTTTGTTCTTGCTTCCTCCTTGTGCCCTAGTCTGTTTGAATACAAGTTAGCAAACTTCAGTAACGTGTGGACTACCATTACCACTGACTGCTGGGTCAAGACTACTGTCTTAGGATGTGTTAACTCAAAAGCACAAGAACCTCGGTCATGTTTTTCACGTCAGGTTGTTTAAATTCACGTGTTTGCAACATGTCCTTGCTGTTCATTTTGATGCCTCTGCTGGGCAGCAGAAGATCCAAATCCTGATGGCTGACTTTTTTCCCCTCTCATATCTTTTACTGTTCATTTCCTGTGGTGGTCGTGGTGGGGTTGGGTTGACGGTTGGACTTGATGATCTTAGAGGTCTCTTCCAACCTAATGATTCTATGAAATCCTTTGGACTTCGTCTGGGATTTCTGCCAAATCACCAAATTAGGTAATTCACCCATCCATGTTTTTCTTTTTAAATCCTGTGTTTTCAGGTCTGATATTTCCCTTTACATGTTGGGTGGCAAAAGAATATTGTCTTTTTATTTGCATGGGACAGAGATTTTCAGATTATCTTTATTGTAGTTCTCTTGACCAGCTGAGAAATAAAACGATAACTGTCTCCAAAGCGGGTGACAGACTGTATTACCTCTCTTGAACAATATGGTTGTAATCAGAATATACTCTTAATAGTTCTCAGACTACATTTGAGGCTTTACTCAATAACGTCTCCGTTTCATTTTTTTGCAAACTGGACAACTAGTTCAAGAAATCTTCAACCAAAGAACCAAGAAGTCTCTGCCAGCCACCTTTTTCTGAGAATACTGGGACACAATTATCTGTGGCGTGGCCATCTATGTGGATGGGCACATAAAGAAGTCGCTTATCTCAAAGAGATTCTAGCTGCTTGTGTGTTGTCCGTATATATGATAACCGTATAGCTTTCTCCCTTGCTATGTGTGGTTGACAATACTCTTAACTCCATGCTTGCTGTCAAGTCAAGGAAAAGGGAGAGGTATGTGTACGCACCCACAATACTGTGAGGGCCAAAACCCCCCATTTTATGATCTTGGATACCTCTGATGTTTGGACCTCTGTAGAGCAAATGTGCATACACACAACACATTGCAAAGAGCTCTGGCTACTGGTAAGTAACCTTTTTTCCCCAAAAGTTTTCTTACATTTTTTCGTAATAATAAAGAAGCACAAGACCTATCAAAGAAGAAACGCATATTAAAGCTAGGATTTCAGCTACAGAAATACAATGGAATGGATTTAAAGGTAGGGTGCAGCTGGTCTGTGCTGCCTGGCAACTAATCTCTTGTCTTCGTGATGATCTAGAAGCTGGATCCTGTACTGCAGGTTGTTGCTTCAGTGTTACCCGCTTTGCTTATCAAGATTTTACATTGATCATTTAAAAATCATTTCATTAAACATTCTTCAACTATAAATTCATGCTTTTGATAAGGAATGAGGCGTAACTGGGTTTTCTCAGGAATGGGAGCTTTAAAACAGGTAAATTAATACAGGGATGAACATGGTTTTTACTTATTTCTGGATGTGAACCATTGCAGTCATCTGAGAATAATGCAACAGCTCATGGAAAGGCTGAACAGTGAAGTTCTGGTCTTGTTTTTTTAAGATAACTGCTGCTCAGTTAAATGGAGCATATTAAGTTACCTTCAACTCAGGCCCTTAGTGTTTCTAACAGCTATTTTGTATGATTACATGATCTCACCTTAGCACCTGTATGATTTATTGTCGTTTATAGTCTTGTGAATAAATGTTCTGTGCTACTGAATGAAAGGCTGGCTAATGTTCCTGGTTTCTTTCATGCTGTTCAGTAACATTGTTAATCAGCTAACAAAAATGTGAATAATGAAGCTCACTCTATCATGGATGTTAAAATATCTCGTTATATTTGTGACCTCTTCCCATCACCTTTAATTTATTTTTCAACTTTTTGATCTTCAGCAGTCTGACAGTTTTCATACCCAATCAGGATTTAACCAAACTGTGGCATTTACTAGCCAAAAAACAAGAAGTCTCTTTGCCAATGAAGGGGCAAGTTTAGTTTCAACAGCTTTAAAATGTTCAATGTTAAGAGCAAGAAAAATCAT